GAAAGGAAAGGAAAGGAAAGGAAAGGAAAGGAAAGGAAAGGAAAGGAAACCTTTCCAACCTTTCCCAAGCAGAATCCATGCCTTGGAATCCCGGCTTTCCCATGGCTTTCTGCTGGAAGTTACAACCACCTGGAAGCAGAAGCCGAGGAAAAGCAGCGGCTGCGGCGTCACCGAATAATTATCCAGTTAAACTCGAGCTCCCAACAGCCTCCTGAGCATGAATCCAGAGGGGGATTCCCCGGGAATACCGACCTGGCGATGTATCGGCACGAGGAGGATCTGTTCAGGCCGGAGGGAGAGACACCAGGACTGGGTGTGGAGTGCAACCTCAGAGCTGGGAACGAGAGAAAAACATGGATCACTCCTGGGAATCGAGGCATTTTATAGGGATTCATGCAGCCCTCAGGATTTTTGATCCACAAAAATGATCGGAGGGATGGGATGGAGGAAAGGCTGTGAGGAAAGACTGGGAGAGGTGGGAATGCCTGGCCTGGAGAAGGGAAGGATTCAGGGAGACCTCAGAGCCCCTTCCAGGGCCTAAAGGAGTTCCAGGAGAGCTGGAGAGGGAATTGGGACAAGGGATGGAGGGACAGCACACAGGGAATGGCTTCCCACTGCCAGAGGGCAGGGATAGATGGGATATTGGGAAGGAATTCTTGGCTGGGAGGGTGGGGAGGAGCTGGGCTGGAATTCCCAGAGAAGCTGTGGCTGCCCCTGGATCCCTGGAAGTGTCCAAGGGAAGGTTGGAGCAACCTGGGATAGTGGGAGGTGTCCCTGCCCACAGCAGGGGGTTGGAATGAGATGATCTTTCCATTCCTTTCCCACCCAAACCATTCCATGATTCCTGGACTTCACTGTTTCACCCAAAGCAGCTCCCAGATGGAGCATCCCAGATGGATGAGGACGCTCTCCATGGACCTCCACACAAGGCCGGGACTTTCAGGAGAGCCCCAGCACCACAAGTGCTCCTTTCCAGCTCCAAACCCCACACGGATCTTCCCCTTTTCATCTCCCAAATGAGCCCAAACAAATCCCGGAGCAACTCCCACAAAACTCCAGGGAAAACCGGCTCCAACCCCGCGCACACACGGAATCAAATCAGCCTTGACCGGAGCAGGAAGACAAGCAGGGCTGTATCCCAACTTTTCCAGGTGTCGGGAAGCGCCTCAGTCACTCCCCTGCCAGCGGGAATGAGCGATTGGAATTTGATGGCTCGGCTGCACAGCCCCAGCTGTTCCCTCCACACATCAAATTCCATCCAGGAACCACCACAGGGAGGTTTTATTCCCTGTTTTTTTTTTTACTTCCCCCTCTTCCCGGGCTGCGGGAGCAGCTTTCCCGCTCGGATTTAGTTCTACGACAACTCCGGGTCACTCCGGAGAGGCGCCAGGATTTCTGGTTTGACCTCCCGGAGACAGATCCAGGTTAAAATCCCACCAGTCTGGAGCATCCCCAGCCCCCCTCTGGAATGATGGTTAATGCTCCAAGCTCAGCAGGATGGGATACACCAGGAATCCGCTCCCCAGGGCAGCGGAAAATCCCTGTAAATATTTAATATTTCAGAATAAAAGCGGAGATTGGGGACAATCATGGAATGGTTAAGGTTGGATCATGGAATGGTTGGGGTTGGATCACAAAACTATGGAGTGGTTAAGGTTGCATCACGGAATCATGGAATGGCTGGGGTTGGATCACGGAATCATGGAATGGTTGGGGTTGGATCACGGAATCATGGAATGGTTGGGGCTGGATCACAAAACCACGGAATGGTTGGGGTTGGATCACAAAGCCATGGAATGGTTGGGGTTGGATCACAAAGCCATGGAATGGTTGGGGTTGGATCACAGAATCATGGAATGTTTGGGGTTGGATCACAGAATCATGGAATGGTTGGGGTTGGATCACAAAACTATGGAATGGTTAAGGTTGCATCACGGAATCATGGAATGGTTGGGGTTGGATCAAAAAACCATGGAATGGTTGGGGTTGGATCAAAAAAACATGGAATGGTTGGGGTTGGAGCACAGAATCATGGAATGGTCAGGGTTGGATCACAAAAACATGGAATGGTTGGGGTTGGATCACAGAACTATGGAATGGTTAAGGATGGATCACAGAATCATGGAATGGTCAGGGCTGGATCACAAAACCATGGAATGATTAGGGTTGGATCACAGAATCATGGAATGGTTGGGATTGGATAACAGAACCATGGAATGGTTGGGGCTGGATCACAAAACTATGGAATGGTTGAGGTTGGATCACAGAATCATGGAATTGTCAGGGTTGGGTCACAGAATCATGGAATGGTTAAGGTTCGATCATGGAATCATGGAATGGTTGGGATTGGATCACGGAATCATGGAATGGTTAAGGTTGGATCATAAAACTATGGAATGGTTAGGGTTGGATCACAAAACTATGGAATGGTCAGGGTTGGATCACAGAATCATGGAATGGTTAAGGTTGGATCACAAAACCATGGAATGGTTGGGGTTGGATCACAGAATCATGGAATGGTTGGGGTTGGATCACAGAATCATGGAATGGTTGGGGTTGGATCACAGAATCATGGAATGGTTGGGGTTGGATCACAGAATCATGGAATGGTCAGGGTTGGATCATGGAATGGTCAGGGTTGGATCACAGAATCATGGAATGGTGAAGGTTGGATCACAGAATCATGGAATGGTGAAGGCTGGATCACAGAATCATGGAATGGTTGGGGTTGGATCACAAAACCATGGAATGGTCAGGGTGGGATCACAGAATCATGGAATGGTTGGGGATGGATCACAAAACCATGGAATGGTCAGAGTGGGATCACAGAATCATGGAATGGTTGGGATTGGATCACAGAATCATGGAATGTTTGGAGTTGGATCGCGGAATCATGGAATGGTTGGGGTTGGATCACAAAACTATGGAATGGTTAAGGTTGGATCACAGAATCATGGAATGGTTGGGGTTGGATCACAGAATCATGGAATGGTTAAGGTTGGATCACAAAACTATGGAATGGTTGGGGTTGGAGCACAGAATCATGGAATGGTTGGGGCTGGATCACAGAATCCAGGGGGGTTGATATTCCAGACTTTTCAGGAGGCCCAAGGAGCCTAAATTTCCTTTTTTTTGGAGTGGTTGCCAACTTGGAATTCCCAGTTGGAACCGCTCCCAAGACATTTGCATTAATAAATCCATTAATAAATTAATTTTCCCGACGGTGGAGGGTGTATCCGTGGCTTTGGAATTGGGGGGAAACTGGGATTTCAGAAGACACTGGAGAGCGGGATGAGGGTTAAATCCCAACATTGGGAGCCGGAATTCGCTGCAGTCCGGTCTAAATCCAACAAAAAGCTGGAATGACACCCCCCAGGGCTTGACTTTGGGATCTGGTTCGGGATCCAGACACAACACTGGGCACATCCCGCTCCCGAATCCATCCCGGTTTCCTCCTCAGTTGCTTCCCAAGCCGGGAGAGAGCCGGATGAGGAGGGCGATTGGCCCTTCCTTGATATTCCAAAAGGGATTTCAGGAAGCGCCAGGGCAAGTTCCTCCCCTGGGAACGCTCCGAGGCAGCGGGAACGACACGGAGAAGAGGCGGGGGGGAGGCAAAAAAAGGCAGGAAAACAAGGAAAAGCCGCCGGGAAGAACGCACGGACACAGGTGGGATCTCTCATCCCCCGTGGAAGGAACAAGTGGTTTTCCCTCCCCCTTTCCCGCCGGTTGGAAGAGCAGAATCCGTAAGGAAACCCACAGCCCGTGGAAAAGCAGTTGTTCCTCTCTCCATGCATCATCCCGACCTGACGCCGGCGGCTCCCGGTGATCGTTGTACCTAATCCAGGCGGGAGACTCCGGAGGGAGCGGGAGCTGTCGTGTTCATTAAATGCATGATTACAGCTGTGATTAATGGCAGGGGCTCCTGCCCAACTCCTGCCTGGTTTTTTTCTCCCCCCCTTCCCTGCTCCTCCGGAGGAATCCGCAGCCGAGCGGCGTTTTCCGCGGCCTGACGTTCCAAGCTTCCCACAGAAAAGGGGGGAAAAGGCAGGATGGTTCAAATGAGGGGGTCGGGTTAAAGGAGTTAATTAAGGCCTTTCCATATCCCTAATCCCAAAATACACCTCAGGGGGAGTGCAGGTCCATCTCCTGCATCCTGGTTTCTTTCCCATAATTCCAAAATACAGGTCAATGGGATCCAGGTCCAGGTCCATGTCCTGTATCCTGGTTTCTTTCCTATAACCCCAAAATGCAGCTCAGGGGGATCCAAGTCCATCTCCTGCATCCTGATTTCTTTCCCATAACCTCAAAACACAGGTCAATGGGATCCAGGTCCATGTCCTGTATCCTGGTTTTTTTTTCCATAACCCCAAAGCACAGCTCAAGACCTTTTCATATCCCTAATCCCAAAATACACCTCAGGGGGGTCCAAGTCCATCTCCTGCATCCTGGCTTTTTTTCCATAATCCTAAAACACAGGTCAATGGGATCCAGGTCCAGGTCCATCTCCTGCATCCTGGTTTCTTTCCCATAATCCCAAAACGCAGCTCAGGGGGATCCAGGTCCAGGTTTATCTCTTGTATCCCGTTTTTTTCTCCATAACCCCAAAACATGACTCAAGTGGATCCAGGTCCAGGTCCATCTCCTGTATCCTGTTTTTTTCTCCATAGCCCCAAAGCACAGCTCAAGACCATTTCATACCCCTAATCCCAAAACACAGCTCAAGGGGGGCCAGGTCCACCTCCTGCATCCTGGGTTTTTTTCCCATAACCCAAAATGCACCTCAGGGGACTCCAAGCCCATCTCCTGCATCCTGCTTTTTTTTCCATAACCCCAAAGCACAGCTCAAGGCCCCAAATCCTTCTCCTCCAAGGAAAAGTTGGCAGAGATTTAACACAGGCACTCGGTGCTTTCCAGCATTCCCACATGGACACTGGGATGGTTCCACCCAGTCCAACACCTTTGCTCAGCTCTCCATCCCCCCGGGCCACAAACACAACCCCCAGAAGAACATTTGGAATATTCCTTGGAAATGTTCCCCCTTGCAGGGAGGGAAATCCTGCATAGGGGGAGGAAGAACCAGGATGGAAAACTGAAATGGCCAAAAAAAAGGGAAAAGTGGTAAAAATTGGGATGTGTCGGGGCCAAGGGATGGGAAAGAGGGGGAGGACACTGTTGGAATAATGAGTGTCAAGCTCGTTGTCCATCTGCTTCCCATGTCCCAAATCAAGGAGAATTTATGGAAATCTTACACAGGGAGGGAAAGAACCAGGGTGGAAAAATTAAATAGGGAAAAAAAGGGAGAAATGGCAAAAATTGGGATGTGTTGGGGCCAAG